CACACACACACACACACGGTGGATAAATTTGGGCACCGTTTTCCATGTTCAGTGCACTGGAAGGATGCAGATATTATGACATCTTGAGAACTGTAGACATGGTAAGAAAATATTGTTTCTAATATGAAATAAATATCATCAGTCATCTTTAGAATTCATCCCTCCGATTTATAAAGACTCTGTTGATGATGGGCCCACATTATCTCTCCAAAGGTCAACAACTGATTAACCCATCCCAGTAAGTACCTGCTCCCTGGGCATATCTTTAGTGATGAAAGGCACTGGTGACTGAGTGTGTTATCTATTACGATTGAGCCATATGAGGCTGGAGAGATGGTTCAACTAGTAAGAGCACTTTCGCTAGTCTAGAATCTAGCAGAAGGCTTGGGTTCCATTCCCAGCACCAGCAAGATGACTCACAACCATCTGGGTCTTTAGTTCCAGGGGATCTGATGCCCTTTTCTGACTTCCAGGGGCACCAGGTACACAGGGGTGTAATAATACATGCAGGTAAACACTCATACACATACAATACGGTACATAAGTATAAAACTCTTTTTAAAAAAAATCAACCAACATGACACTAAATTCATAAGCAGCTTTTGGAGAGACATTTGATTTCCCAAGTAGATTTTTCTCTAGGGGAACAAATACCCTGGCCAAACATTTATAAGATTTATTTCCTAAGATGAAACCAAGAGTAACAAAGTAGACCATTAGGCAGAACACGTGAGCTGTCATTACACAGCCCACGCCAAGGAAGATGGGTCTTATGGGAACCCAAAGGGACATAGTTGAAAATAGTGTCGGGTTCAGGTGACAGCCTGGTTCTACCGTGGGCAAAATCCGAGAAAGAAGGCATCGTGCGTGCGTAAGCAGTTGCGGTGGTTGTAGCAGCAAATCCAATAATTTACTTAACACTTACACACCTAACATTGTGTGCTGGAATAGGTCCGAGAAGGCTACAAACACGAATGGATCAGAAATTAAGGTCCGGAGAAACAAACCACGTTTGGAAAGTCGGGACATTAACGTAAACTGGAGTTTAATTAGCCCCGAGGGAATCAGTGCACCAAGTCTATTAACAATGTTTTGGTAGATAAGAAGGTTGAACGAAAACAAAAGGCCGTCTGAAAACAAACGCGAGAGAAACTGGCACCACTTTACCCAGAACACCGAACTTGGAGTTGTCTGGATCCTGAGGGCAGGAAGATCATTTTCGCCGCATGTTTTATGCAGGTTGAATGCGGGCACGTTGCGTGAGTTTGCAGCTCTGCAAGTCATTTCACACTTTCCTGAATGTGTACCCAAAACCTCGGTCTAGGTTTCAGGAAAATCAGTTATCAGGAGAAAAAAAGGTGACCCCGCCTGTTGTTTGGAGAAGCTGAGGGCACCTGTGGCTTCCGAAGCGCCGCAGCGCGTGGCCACCTGCGTGCAGGGACCACTACCCCTAACTTTGCGGTCTGGGGACAGAGGGCTTGTCCTGGAGCTATTTGATTTGATTTGATTTGATTTGATTTGATTTGATTTTTAGCAAGCTACGCCCCTACCAGGTAACATTAGCTCTTGGGAGGAGTGGACAGCCCTTACCGTACAGGAAATCATACGTTCGACTGGCGCTGCCCTTGGCCCCCAACCGCTGGCATCGGTACGGAAACCCCTGAAGCTTGGTTCTGGGCTCCTGGATGGTCACTGTGCGGCTCATGGTGCTGCCTCTTTCGTCTGGCCAGCAGAACACCAGCTATGGGAGGTTTGGTAGCTGAGTACACCGTAGCTATAGCAACCTCAGACGCACACGCGAGGTAAGGGGCGGGGCGAGTTTCAGAGGGGGGGGACAGCGGGGCAGGGAGGGATGGGGGCGGGGCGGGACCTAGATGGGCAATTTGAAGAGGCTGGACGGAGTGACAAAGTAGATTTGGGGGGGTGCACGGTGGGCACACCTGGCAGGATGTGGAGCTCCCTGAGGAGCTGGGAACTGAAAGGAAGGAAGGAGGCAAGAGAAAGGAAACGCTGATGTGGACGGAGGTGGGGCTAGGAAGAAGAGCTAGGGGGCAGACGACCTCGCTCCCGCCCAGCTAGGGTTTAGAGCACAAGCTGGGGAAAGGGCTACTCTAGAAAACCAAGAACCATTGGCTAGTAACAGCCCTTGCCACCAGTCTCTTTTGGCGATCCCTGGGAGGTCTCGTAACCTTCTAGAAGAATTGGGTACTTTTCTGAGAGCCTCTTTTCGCAGGATCAAGGAATCCAAGCTCCTAAATGCTGGGCTTTGGGGCAGTAACCAAGATAATATCAGCTTCAGAGTGAACTAGAACATCAGTAATTGGAGATCTGTCTCCCAGATGCTGCTCTTCGCGTTAGAGCAGGTGTGGACAATTCGGCGCATGCGTAGTAGGCTCTGCTAAGCAAAAAAAAAAGTCAGTTTTTGAGAATACTCAGAACCTTTTGCCCACGACACATTCTTCTTTTTAAAAGAAATTTCATTCATTTATCACTTTACTTTAAAAGTAACCAGCGTCTCAAATTAATGACGTTGTTTGCTCATTCATTATTGGTGGTTGCAAACTAAATTTAGGGTCTCACGCATGCTACAAGCGCTCGCCTACTGAGATACACTCTAGCCCAAGCTATAGATTTAAAAAAAAAATGCTACCATCATAGCTAACAATGTTAATACTAATTATTTTGTTCAAGCATATAGCACATATTCACATTTACATGGTTGACTCAAAGATGTTATTTATTCTTGGGATGTTTTTAAGCCTCGTCTTGTTCTAGAGCACTGAGTTTCTAGCATTTTGTAATTTAAAAAGCTTTCTTAAACCAACTTGGTTCTCCTGAACTCCAATGATATTATAAGATCAATGCTAGATTTTTTTATGCATCCAAATCAGCGAAATGAGCTGCTATTGCACGTCTTTAATCCCACCCGAGACAGCTGTATCTCTGTGAGTTTGGAACCATATGCTTTGGTTTTTTTTTTAGTGCTGCTGCTATGGTTGCATGCATTTCCACATATCTGATATTCTAATTAGCTCAAACTTTACAGCTTCTAAAATAATATTTCACTTTAGAACATATTTTGGAAACTTTTTTTCCCTGAATTTTGGTTCATGGACTCGCAACTATAGAAATCGGGGCATTTTCCCAGGCCAGGAACTTAAGGTAATAATTCAACACTTTTCTCCATTTTTAGATCTATTCCACACAGTCTGTGTCTTACATTTATCTTCGAATAACTAACCAACCTGTGGTAAACTCCTAAGGTCACCCCTTGGTGTTGATGCTTTGGTCGGCGTGTCCAGCCTTGTGACAATGCAACCTGGCATTGTCATTTCTCTCTATAAAGATCACACTCTAGCCACTCACAATTGAGGCAAAAAAGATAGTCTTAACGTTCCTCTGCAGGCAAAGGTGCTGGCTAGCAGGGACAATCCAGGCCCGGCAATCTGAGTCTGATCCCCAGAATTCATGTAAAGGTAGACAGAGAGAACCAACTCCCCAAAGTTGTCCTCTGACCTCCACCTGCTGGCCACAGCAAGCACCTCCCCCAAATCACAAACACAGTACTAATAAAAAACTTTTTAAGAATTCAATCGTTCGGGGAGGGAAATGGGAGGCGGCAGTGGGGAAGAGACAGAAATCTTTAATAAATAAATAAATAAATAAATAAATAAATAAATAAATAAATAAGAAATTGGAGGAAAAAGAAAAAAAGAATTCAATGGTTCATGCAAGTTCATATTGGGATGCCTTCATAACTGTCCTGGGCTGGGTGCCCATGGGTTTGAGTTTGGCAGGCCTCTGTCCTGGGTCATACCTACACCTCTAGTGTTAGGACTTGCTTTAACCAAAAGACTCCACAGGCCACAGTGGAAAATAAGCGGCTGTGTGATTGATCTTTTACAGAGACCTTTAGTGTTTATTTTGCTCTCTCTTCATAAGCGATTTTGAGGAAACAAGTGACCATGTTTGGAATCCTACATTGCAAAGAACTTGCAGATGGCTTCTAGGAACTGACATGGCCTCCGACTGATAGCCAGAAAGAAGCTGAAGCCCTCCCCCCTACAATAGCAAGAAACGGAATTTCTCTAATAACTGGGGTGAGGCTGACTACAAACTCATCCCCGCCGGAAGATCAGATAAAACAGTCGCCTCTACCAGTCTTAAATTGCAATCTGGAAAAACCCTTAAGCTACGCCCAGACTCCTGACCTAGAGAAACGGCGAGGAGACAAATGTGTGCTACCGTTAGGCTGTGCTAAAAATGCTACATGGATGTCTTGGTGCCATGGCTTGTTAAGCATGCGTGAGTTAAACAACAGATGCTCATTTCTCACAAGGGATCTAGAATGTCTAACATAAGGAAGGTGCAAATCTGTTTTGTTTCTGATAAGGGCCGAGGGGCTTTCTGGCCGGCACATGGCTACCTTCTTGTTCTGTTCTATTCTCATATGACATAATTGAGGGGGAGAGTAACCAGTTTCTTCTTCAAGGGTCCAAATCCCTTCGTAGAGACTGCATCCTGTGACGTCATTGATCTTAACTACCACAGTGGAGACTAGGGCTTCATTTGGGCGGGACACAAACATTATGTCCACAGTAAACAGTAAATGACTGGACGGACGGCCTTCATGAAACTGGGTCTCGCCATTTGATGTAGTTGTATAAAAGAAACTTCAGCACTGAGGAGGGGTTCTTGTTAATGAAATTCAGTTAAAGGGAAGATTTGATCATGTTTGAACTCTCCACAGGGGCTAATTTCCATTGTGTCTTGCAAAGCAGGGGCGTTGTCTGTCCTTGTCCCTTTGTGTGGGAAGCAATGTTGGCCGATAGAGATGGTGCTGCCCTTTAGGCAGAAGGCAGGGCGGAAATTTTTTCTCTTTATTACGAATTCTCTTCATATGAAGCAACTCAATACACGTGTGGCTACATGGCATTTTCTCATCACGCGTGGGAAAAAGGGGATTCTGGAGACGTGTCAAGATGCTTTAACGCTCTGTGCTGCTGCTGCTGCTGCTGTCAGTGATGATAAGGGTCATCTCTCAGTTGCCCAGTGACTCGATGGCTTCTCCCACCACTTATGAACTGGTTTGCAAATGAAGTCGGAACTTAACCTTCTCGAGATTCAGAAGCCAGAGGACGTTGTATAGTACATATTTCCCCAGGGAAATTGAAAAGCTTTTTTTTCCCTTCGAGGCAGACATGCAAATATGTAAAGTTGCTTAGTTCTGTAAGCAACCCAGAGGCTAGCCATTAAATAGACTGAGAATTTAGGCCTTGTAATTCTTCTCTCTCAACACATGGTGGCGCTCGTTCGCTACTAACAGCAGCTGCACATCTTGGGTGAAGTCATCAAATTTCGGCACGGTAGGCATGGAACAGGGCTACACACCTTTAACACTGAAGAACTTTAAAAAGTAATTCATGCTGGGTGGTGGCGCACGCCTTTAATCCCAGCACTCGGGAGGCAGAGGCAGGTGGATCTCTGAGTACAAGGCCAGCCTGGTCTACAGAGGGAGTTCCAGGGCAGCCAAGCTTACACAGAGAAACACTGTCTCAAAAAAAAAAAAAAAAAAAAAAAAGGAGAAAGAAAAAAAAATCTTAGTTGTTGTCTATCATGCCAGTGGCTCTGCCATTGCATTCGTAGAAGCCATTTGTTGTTTGGGGCCATCCCACCCTACCCAACTCACCATTTCAAGTTTGTTGCATATTAATTTAGTAATTTTAGTAATAACAATGCAAGAGCTAAAAAGGGGGACCGACGCAGGCGGGCAACACAGGTGGCGGCGGGTGACGCAGGCCGCAGGCGGCCAGGACCGGCGGGGACTGGTGCGGCGGCAGACAATGCAGGCGGCAGGGACCAGCGAGCAACACCTAGAGCAGATCGCCCCACTACAATTAAATCAAAGAGGTAGGCCTTTGGTTGGTGAGGTCTCTGGCAAACGGGGAGCCTGGTCCTGTTCCTGAAGACCCTTCTGAGGGGTGAGAGGGTTCTTGGCCCCTGGCAGGAGCCAGGAAACAGAGCGAGGGCAATTAGTAAGAGAAGCCTCTGGCCAGCAGAGAAACGTGATCCGGTTTTAAAAGACCGGTTAGATAGCATTGATAGGAGGAGATGGGCAGGCGCCAAGGCAAAAATTCACCCAATAATCTGAAAAAAAAAAAAAAGATGAAAACACCAGAACCCAATGATCTTACAACAGAAGGACTTGAACACCCTAACACAGAAGAAGTGGAAAAAAATTGACTTTATGAAAGCAAGAGTCCCTTAAACAACATGTAAAAAACACCCTTATAGATATGGATGAGAAGTATAACAAAAAGTTTGAAGAAATGAGTAAATACGTACATGAGACCCTGGGAAACCAAGAAAAAACGAACAAACAGGTAATGGAAACAGTTCAAGAATTGAAAACTGAAATGGAAGCAAGGAAGAAAACACAAACTGGGGACCAGCTGGATACGGAAAATCTAGGTCAACGAGCAGAGCCTACAGAAACAAGCATAATCAATAGAATACAAGAAATAGAAGAAAGAATCTCAGATTCTGAAGACACCATAGAGAAAATAAACGCACTGATCAAAGAAAACAGCAAAGCCAACAAATTCTCATCACAAAACATTCAGGAAATATGGGACACAATAAAAAGACCAAACCTGAGAATAATAGGAATAGAAGAAGGGGAAGAATTACAGCTCAAAGGCCCAGAAAATATATTTAACAAAATTATGGAAGAAAACTTTCCCAACATAAA